CTGCCTCCCAGGTTCAAACGATTCTCCTGCCTCAACCTCCTGAGTAGCTAGGATTACAGGTGCGCACCTAATTGCCTATCAGTGAAGCACCTAATAAGACTTGGTGAAGCAATAAGCAGTGTATTCCAAATGCGCTTGTTACAGAGGTAAGTCTTGAGTACACTGGAAGGACGAATGAATTCTATGAGTGCTCAGGACAGGCTTCATCGAGAGATACAATTGGAGCTGATACTTGATGGACACAGGATTTCTGGGCAGAAAAATGGAGTGAAAGGTATTGGTAGAGAAAATGTGTGTGGAACACAAAGATTCAGAATGGTGCTCAGAGAATATATATAGCAATAATATATATGTATGTATATTTATAAAATAATAATTATTATAGAGACTGGACAGGTGAATGCATCCTTTCCAAGACTTCCTCCTAGGGGGAGCCATGGGATGCAGAGAGCAGCAAGGCCCAGGATCCAGGACCTCAGGGCCCAGCAGAGGCCAGACATGGGCAGAAATCCCTGCCGCCGCAGCTGCGGGCAGGTGGGCAGGTCAAGGGACCTGTGGGCTTTGGTACTTGGTACGCGTGGGTTCAAGTGTGTGTTCAAACTCCAGCTCCAGCAACCTCCCTCCTATCAGCTTTTCACTGCAAGCTGGGGCGGTAGCTTCTTGCGAGGATAAAATGATGAAGTGTCCAGCACCAAGCAGGTACCCAGTATATTGTGGCTTCCTCCTCACCGCCCTAAGAGATGAGGATCGAAGACCCTGCCCTGTCCCTGAGGCCTTTCGGGCTAGTGTGGGGCTGATGTGACCCTTTTAACAAATCATTCTGCTAAGGGCTGAGGGAAGCAAGCCTCCCTCTGGAGCTGCTGAGGAAGGGAAGGCCCCTTGGGAGGGGCATCCTGGTTCAGGTGCATTCCCAGGGCCCAGAGAGCGCTCGCCGCTTATGCTCACCTTGAGTGTCAGGATTCAGTGAGGGAAGAAGCAGAACCATGTGAGAACGGGCCAAGGGATTTGCTGTGGAATTAGACCTTACAGGATTGTGGAGGGGCTGGGAACTGGAGGTGTGGGGAGGCAGCTGGAGCATCAGCGAGCGAGCAGGTCACCAGTCACTCTGAGAAGCTGAAACATGCCCAGCCACCTAAGAGACCTGGAGAGGTCTCTGGGCCACTGTGCCTTGTGGATCCCCCATCTGTGGGTCTGTGATGAAGTGACTGGTGCTGGACTTGGGGCTACAGCAGGTCACAGTGCAGGGCGGCCTACCCTGCTTGCTTTCGGCCACTTGCTTCGTATTATTGTTTTTTTCTTTTTCCATGAACCCGAAGGCCACGGTACACTGACCGCTGAAACTCAACCTTCACTGGCTACATTATAGATAACATTCATAGATCACCATGGCCATGGTGCTTCCATTGTCTTTCAGGACCTTGGGCCAACTCCTGTCCAATTCAAATCGGTTGAGACCACTGACCCTTTAACTGGACCCGTGCACGTGCCTGAGAAAAGGTCCATCCTGACATCAGAGGGTCCAAAACTCCACCTTCAGAGCCCAACACTCCACCTTCAGATCATGCTAATGCCACCATTTTCTGTACTTATGTCCTATGAAATGCCAAGAAGCCTGATGACACTTTTTTTTTTTTTTTTTTTGCGACAAGGTCTTGCTCTGTGGCCCAGACTGGAGTGCAGTGGCGCGATCTCAGCTCACTGCAACCTTTGCCGCCTGAGTTCAAGCACTTCTCCCACCTCAGCCTCCCGAGTAGCTGGGATTACAGGTGCAACCACCATGCCCAGCTAATCTTTGTATTTTTTTTTTTTTTTTCTGAGACAGTCTCTCGCTCTGCCACCCAGGCTGGAATGCAGTGGTACAATCTCAGCTCACTGCAAGCTCTGTCTCGTGGGTTCGCACCATTCTCCTGCCTCAGCCTCCTGAGAAGCGGGGACTATAGGTGCCCACCACCATGTCTGGCTAATTTTTTGTTTGTTTTTTTTTTTTTTAGTAGAGATGGGGTTTCGCCGTTTTAGCCAGGTTGGTCTCAATCTCCTGACCTCGTGATCCACCTGCCTCGGCCTCCCAAAGTGCTGGGATTACAGGCATGAGCCATCGTGTCCAGCCTAATTTTTGTATTTTTAATAGAGATGGGGTTTCACCATGTTGGCCAGGCTGGTCTCACACTCCTGACCTCAGGTGATCTGCCCGCCTTTGCCTCCCAAACTGTTGGGATTACAGGCATGAGCCACCAAGTTTGGCCAGCTGCCTGATAACACTTGCACAAAATGAACCTGTTACTTCATTTTTCCCCACTGCCAATCACCTCCCCCCACATCTTAGACCATCACACTTCCCTAACCTAGAAACAGCCCTCAGCCTTATCTCCAGGGAGATAAGGATTTGAGCGCTGTTCTCCCACCTCCTCACTTGGCGGTCTTGTGAATCTATCTTTCTTCTTTTGCAAAACACATGTCACAGTGATGGACTTGCTGTGTACAGGCAGAATGGACCTCGACC